GCTGCGTTTCCACTCTTGTTCTGGACTCGCTGTGCTGCACTCGTCAGTCCGTTCTGCTCTTGTTTTATACTGGCATGATATCGCAGGGGAATAGCGTCACTTAAAGACGTGCAGATCATAACCTTGGCGTTTAAGGCTCCTGATCAGTAAATGAGAGCTTAACTGGGAGGGAGAACTCAGGCACTGAGCTCTTTCTTACTGCGGGGCCGGTATGGAGGGTGTAAGGGGAGAAAGTGTATAATCTGCTGTGTCGATGAGCATTAGTGCCGATGGTGATGCCTTGTAGGCGGAGAGAGGGAATGGGGCTGTGGAGAGAAGACTCTGCTTCCTCGGGTTACTGTCAATATCCTGTGTGATCTGGGGCTCTGTGGACATGAGCAGCATCAAAGGCCTCGCTCCCCCTCCCTGCTTCCAGCAGAGCCCAGGAGCTGGGGCTGAGTGTTGTAACAGGCAGCCTGCAGGGCAGAGCTGCAGGGATCGGCAGTTCAAGAGCCAGGTTTCTGTTTGCTAGGAGGAGTTTTCAGAGGATTAAGTTGGGAGTTACGCGTTAATAATAATTGCTTACACTTATAATATGGTGCTTTTTCTGGACACACCACTCAAAGCGCTTTACAGGTCATGGGGATCCCCTCCACCCCCACCAGTGTGCAGCCCCACCTGGATGATGCGCCGGCAGCCATAGTGCGCCAGAATGCTCACCACACACCAGCTATTAGTGGGGAGGAGAGCAGAGTGATGGAGCCAGTTCAGAGATGGGGGGTTATTAGGAGGCCATGATGGGTAAGGGCCAATGGGAAATTTGGCCAGGATGCTGGGGTGATATTTGGCAGGACGAGTTGATATTCCTTTGTGTATATTGAGGAATATGGACGCATCTGGTAGTGGTCATTGTGGGGTCCTCATCCCTGTTATTTCTTTCACAAGTTTCTTGAACATTGATAATCTAGTTCTTAAGATGAGTGCACTCTCAAAATAGGCCTTAAATGAGTAATTTTTTTCCAAAGGTTTTGCCTGAAGGTCTCCGTCAGATCAATTGGCTCAGATCCATCATGGTTCAAGTTAATCGGTTGTAGCTGATATACAGACCAGTGCATGGGAAAAATGAGCAGTTTCAGGGCTGTTTTGCAGGTGCAGTTTTCCTTGCAGTTGGTCTGTTTCTGAAGTTTGTTTGCGATTAATCTCCCTGTTTCCTCACTCTTTCTGTGACTGGGGCACCTCTGCCAACGAGCAGCCTGCGTGCTGAAGTGTCAGGAGACGCTCTGAGATCTGTCCCCGGTGGCCTGAACATTTTGCGTTTGACTTGGCGTTCTTGCCTGCTTACATTCCGCTCAGTTTTGGAAGCCTTTTGAAGAGACGAGACGGGCCCTGTGAGTGCTGGGGGCAGGGGCAGCGAGCCCTGCTGCAGGCCCACCTCTGTCAGTCTGGAGCTCGGCTGTGCCCTGGGGTTGCAGCATTAACAGGCTGATCACGCCCAGCCACCCCTGGGGCTGTCGGACAGCGATCAGTAGGGTTTTACTCATTGCCTCTTATTTATTTCGTATCGCCTTTCAGCAGGCAGATAACCTTAGTAGGAAGGGATGGGTGGTAGCTGGGAATTTCTTGTTTCTCTGTGGTGAATCTTTATTTGAAAAAAAGGAGCGCACTTTGTATTAATTTCTGAGCCGCGGGGGCTGTGTGAGCAGGGCTGCGAGTCTCCTGTGCCGATCGCGGTCTCTTCACTGAGCCAGGGGAGTGGCTGGGTGCTGGGCTGGGGAGGGGGGGGGCAGAGGTCAGCTGCCAGGACGTGGCCCATGCTGACGGGCCGCCTTTCTCCCTCTCGTGCCGTTTCGCAGGTGCCCGAGGGCGCAGGAGTGTGCGGGCTGCGCACGGGGACGCTGAGAAGGACTGCGCTCGG